GTTAAGGCCGGTTTCTTACTTATGTTACATACACACCCCCCCCCCCCGGGGACTGGCGGTGATGGCCGCTCCGGCTGTTGCCGCTCCCCAGAATGACTGGGTTCAACTTTTTGGGGTTGCTGAGGGAAGCCGCCTTCGATTCGTTCAAACGGAGGTAGAGGCGGGTGCTCTTATTCTTTCTCGTGCTCTTAGAGAAGTGGGTGTTGTTCGTTGGAACGAAGCTCTAGTGGGTCAATTCCTTTCAGATCCGCCACCACTTCCTGTTATACAATGTTTTGCGAATAGGATGTGGGGCAGGGAGGGTTTGATTCAAGTTTCTTAGTTTGGCAATTCTATGTTCTTGTATTTGTAAACACGGCGAGAGTCGTTTGTTTTTCAAGGTTGGATTCAGTTTCCAATTGAACTAATCAGTAAATATTAAAGAGTCTTTTCGTTTTGCTAGTTCTTTAGATCTATTAAAATTGTTGTAATAAGGCAATTCCACGTTACCCGATGATGTCAACTGTTGGAAAAATTGGATCTAAATGCTCACCAACTCTCTTATTTCTTCACCTTCCCACAACTCACAATTGCACAAACACTCTCTACTTTCTTTCTTATTTGCTTTGCTTTGCTTGGGATGAAGAATCCATACACAAACCATGGCTATTTATAGCCAAGTTCCAACACTAAATTGTGGCTTATACTTTGCCACACCTAACTACCACTTTACACCTACTTAACCCCACCAATATCTACCCATTTCTTCTTTTTCTTTTCTTAATCCATAACTACCCACAGTAATACACGCTCTAGATAATTCCACACACTTCACAACTCTAACTAGTTGTGATGTTACATTTTTTTGTTTATTAAACTTTATTTTTCAATACTCCCCCTTAAAGTTTAATTTACCACTTCTCCGAGTAGTGTTCGTATCATGCTTGAGTAGTGTCTTCACCACGTAGCTCAGCATCACCAACATTCTTCTTCTTGATCATTCCAAGTTCTCTTTGAACTCTTCAAACTTGACTCTCGGAAGTGATTTAGTGAAAATATCTGCAATCTAATCTCCAATCTTCACTGCTTTCATCTCTATCTCTTCCTTCAGCACTTTCTCTCGGAGAAAATGATAATGAACTTCAACATGCTTTGTTCTAGCATGAAATACAGGATTCTGAGGCTAACTTATAGCAGATAAATTGTCACAATATAATGGAATCGAGTAATCAACTTCTTGATGAAGGTCCTTCAAAAGTTGCACTAGCCAGGTGCACTCTTGTGATGCCATTGCTGCCGCTCTATATTCGGCCTCTGTACTTGACAACGAAACGGTCGGCTGTCTTTTACTGCACCACGACACTGCTCCTGAACCGAGTGTGAACAGATATCCTGTTGTCGAGCGACAAGTGTCTAGGTCTCCAGCATAATCAGCATCACAATAACCTTTAAGTTTGCACTCTACTCCCTTCTTGTAAATTATCCCATGATCAATGGTTCCCTTGACATATCTCAAAACTCTTTTGATGATCTCAAGGTGAACCTTCTTGGGATTCTGCATGAAACGGCTAACGACTCCAACTGCATAAGAAATGTCGGGACGAGTCATAGTTAGGTAGATTAAACTACCCACAAGTTGTCTATACATTGTCACGTCTTCTAAATCTTTTTCCCTCTTGTGAGTTGAGTTTAACGTTAGCCTCCATCGGTGTTGTTGTAGGCTTGCACTCTTGTAGCTCGAACTTCTCTAGCAACACTATGGCATATCTTCGCTGACTAAGAAATAAGCCATCTTCTCTTTTCTCGACTTCAAGTCCAAGAAAGTGCTTCAGCTCACCAAGTTCCTTCATTTGGAACCTTATGGATAGATTTGTTCGAGTTCGGTTGATTTCTTCTTCAACATCTCCAGTCACGATCAAGTCATCAACATAAACTAGCACAATTGCTAATTTTCCATCTTGCTCCTTGACAAACAAACTTGAATCCGACGGAGTGACAAAGTATCCGCATTGGAGTAGAAATTCTCCAATCTACCGTACCAAGCTCGAGGTGCCTGCTTCAAACCATATAGGGCTTTCTTGAGCTTACAGACATAGTCTGTGTTTATGCTCTTAAACCCTCTAGGTTGCTCCATGTAGATCTCTCGATCAAGCTCTCCATGTAAGAAAGCATTCTTCACATCCAGCCTTGTTATTCTGCTAACTTGAAGATTCGTTAGTATATACTAACTAATATCCAAAATGTATGAACTAATATCCACGTTTTTTGAGTATCTAGATAGCACAACTAATATTCAAAACATCACAAACTAGTATCCAGATAACAGATACCAACTAATATCCACAATCAATCAACTAGTATTCAATATGGATACTCTTATGTGTTATCTGGATACTCTTATGTGTTATCTGGATACTAATTATGTGTTGTATGGATAATATTCTGTGTTGTCTAGATATTAGTTTGTGAATTTTGGATAATATTTGATTCATGATGGATATCAGTTAGCAAACTTTGCATACTAGTCTGTGCTCTCTAGATACTTTAGTACTTGGATACTAGTTCATGTATTTTGAATATCAGTTAGTATCTGCTAACGAATCTTCAAGTTAGTAGATTAACTTTTCCCCTTCACATCTAGCTGTCACATTCTCCAAGACTTACTGGCTGCAACTGCTAATAGAACACGGACAGTTGTGATCTTAGCAACTGGACTAAACGTCTTGTTATAATCCAGCCCATATTGTTGAGAAAATCCAGGAGCCACCAATCGAGCCTTAAAACTCTCAATTGATCCATCTGACTTTGTCTTCACTTTGTAAACCCATTTGCAGGATATGGGCTTAACATCTTCAGGCTTTGGTACAAGTTCACATGTTTGATTATGCTCGAGAGCTTGAATCTCTTCTTTCATAGTGTTTCTCCATTCACCATGTTTTGCCGCTTCTTCGTAAGATTGGTTCTCTTACGCCAATATCTTCTATCATGGCTACATTGGGAAATTTGGGATTTGGCTTTCTAGCCCTCTTCAATCTTCTGAGCTCTTGTTGAGGATCAACAATATGATCCAGTTGACTAGGTCGTTCTTCTTCTGTGACTGGCTGGTGAACTCCAGTCTTCCAAGGACTCTTGCCTTTTTCAGGAGAGCGAGTTTGAGCTCCCACGGAACTTTCTCCTTGTTCAGCTTCTACTGTTTTCACCTCTTCTTCACTAGACCTCTCTAACAACCTCTCATCCATCTCTTTTGAGTCTGGAAGTAGGAATGCTTCTGGGGACCACCAGGATGATGCTTCACCAAACACTACATTGCGTGACACATAACAGTTTTATGTTGTTGGGTCGCAATATCTCCATCCTTTCCTTTGATTGTCATAGCCCACAAAAATGCATCGGACCGCCTTTTTGTCAAACTTGCTTCGAGCATGGTCTGGTACGAACACATAGCACACACAGCCAAATACTCGGAAATGGATGACGTTGGGCTTCAACTTCCACAATTTCTCATAGGGTGATACAAACCCCATCTTTGGCTAAGGTAGTCTGTTGACGACATGAGCAACAATCTTCATGCATTCTGCCCAAAACTTGGGAGGAACATTCTTTGCATGTAGCATGCTTCTGCAAATTTCTGCCAAGTGACGGTTCTTCCTCTCTGCTACTCCATTTTGTTGTGGACTACCTGGGCAGGTCAACTGGCATCGAATTCGGTGTTGCTTGAGAAATTGTGTGAATACGATTGAAGTGTACTCTCCTCCATTGTCTGTACGAAGACATCTAATCTTCTGACAGACTTCGACTTCGACAAGTTCTTTGAAAATTTTGAACTTATCAAATGCCTCAGATTTCTCTTTCACGAAGTCAAACCAGACATATCTTGAGAAATCATCAATGAATGTAATCATGTACTTCATTCTAGACACTGAAGCCTGCTTCATTGGTCCAAACACGTCTGAATGGACAAGCTCTAGAGGCATTTTAGACTTGAACTTTGAGTCTTCATATGGTAGCTGATGAGCTTTCCCGTACTGGCATCCGACACATGCGAGATCGTCACAGATATCAAGTTGAGGAAGTCCATTGAGCATGGACTTCTTCATCATCACCTTGAGCTTCTGATAGCCAACGTGTCCAAGACGAGCATGCCATAAGCTTGTCGTCTCATTTCTTCTTGTTTTGTCAACATAAGCCGCTTTTGCTGACATTACATAGACAGACTCCAGCTTCTGCCCTTGCATGATCGGATCAGAAGTTGGTTGTAAGCTTCGATACACCTTCACATCTCTAGGACCGAATGCCACATAATTACCAGATGCTGTCAGTTGTGATACTGACATCAAATTCTTTCGCATTCCAGGGACGTGGTAAACGTTTGACAGCTCCACTTGTTGATCGCCAAACCGAGGAGTAATAAGTGTCTCGCCGATGTGGGTGATTGGCAGCTTAGAGTTGTTGGCGGTGACAACCACTCGTCCACCTTTGTACTCAAACACGTTTAAAAGCTTCTGTTCATCACCAGTCATGTGATTTGAACATCCCGAGTCCACAATCCAGTCATTTTCATAATCTATGGCATTCTTGTCCACTGACATCATCGCTAACTCTTTAGTGGCGCCTTTTGGAGCTTCCGTTGCAAAGGATGCTTGAAAGTCCCATACATCATCATTCACCTTGGAAGAAGTTGCAGCATTTCTTTCTTCCTTTTTGTGCCAGCAATCTCTGGCTAGATGATCCTTCTTGTGGCAAATGTAGCAATTTCCATTTTCTCAATCATGCTCCTTCCTGCCCTTTCCGTCACCACCCTTGTAACGGTAGTTGTAATTTTTCTGGGCTCCCCCTCGATAGTTGCCCCCTTTCTTATTCCATTTTTTGTTCTTCTTGAACCCTTTTTGGCCACTTGTTGATGCAAGAGCCTTCTCTCCACCATTAGAGTCTTTACTTTTGCTGAGCAATGCCTTTTCCTCTTCCTTGATTGACGCCTTTGACATCTTGTCATCGAGAATTTCTTCATTTGCTAGAAGATTCTACAACCTAGCCAGGGTTGGCTCCTTTGACCACCCTCTTGTTGCTGTCACTATGCCCTTGAACTCCAGTCTCAAGCCACGAATGATGATTCTTCTTGTCCGAGCTTCCGAAATTGGATTTTCAGGATCTAGTTTCGAAATTTCGGCACAGACATTTTTACTTGGTGAAATATTGACCAATGGTCAATGTTTCTTGGGATAGTGACATCAATTCATTCTCCAGTCTCTGGAGTCTCGCTTCATTGGTCCTGGCGAAGATTGTGGAGAGAGTATCCCAAGCTTCCTTTGGATATTTGCTTTCCTTGATGCGAGGCAAGAATTGGTCTTCTGTTGTGACTGCAAGGATGTACATGATCTTGTATGCTTTTTGCTTCCAGTCCTCCAACAACTTCTCATCTTTGGGTGGTGGGATGGTGATAATTTCCCAGAGCTTTTGGCCTCTGAGATAAAACTCCGTACGGGTGGTCCAACTTGAGTAGTTGGTCTCGTTCAACTTCTCCATAGCGGTAACTGAGAAACCCTCCATCTTCTTACTTCGTAACTTCTCCAAGTTCTCTACTTCAATCTTCTTGAAATAACTGCAGCCTCTGACCGCCTGATCAGGATCTTGTAACTACTAGCTCTTGGTTGAACCAGTTCTGATAACTCAGCACAAGGAATCCCTTTTTTGATGTGGAAGATCGGTCAAAGCCGTAACAACAGAGCATATGAGGAATAACCTTGATACTGATAACAAAGCACAAGGAAACCTTTTCTGATGTGGAAGATAGGCCTAAAGCGCAACCACAGAGCATACGAGGAATAACCTTGGCTCTGATACCACTTGTTGGAAAAATTGGATCGAAATGCTCACTAACTCTCTTATTTCTTCACCTTCCCACAACTCACAATTGCTCAAACACTCTCTATTTTCTTTCTTATTTGCTTTGCTTTGCTTGGGATGAAGAATCCATACACAAACCATGACTATTTATAGCCAAGTTCCAACACTAAATTGTGGCTTATACTTTGCCACACCTAACTACCACTTTACACCTACTTAATCCCACCAATATCTACCCATTTGTGGTTCTTCTTTTATCTTCTTTTCTTAATCCATAATTACCCACCATAATACACACTCTAGATAATTCCACACACTTCACAACTCTAACTAGTTGTGATGTTACATTTTTTTTGTTTATTAAACTTTATTTTTCAATAGTCAATGTAACACTCTAGACCGGCCGGTCATTAAATTTACCAAAATGTCCTTGAGAATCAAAACAAATCATTTGTCTTCAAAAAGGAGAAACAATGGAAAATCATCCAAAACTAAAATCCAAATCTCAACAGAAATAATCCTTGTCAATTCGACACAACGAGCATTTGTCTCAAGTATACTAATAGGAAATTCATAAAGTAAAAGGAGCTCTTGGTGAAGCTTTCTCGGTCACTAACCCTTCTGACGACATCCTGAGCAGCAATGGTATCCCAGCGGTTGGTCTGTGCACTCTTGCTCTATAGTAGCTCCTGAGTGCGGGTGTGGGGTCAGTCCTAGGTACAAATTATCTTAACAGTAATGACTACTCAACAACTTAGAAGAAAACATACATAATCGAATGCATAGAGTAACAGGACATAACTTGAACATTAAATCTAGCCCCCTTTAACCACACACCTTATTAATTTAAGTCGTTTAAAACTTGAAGATGACCCTTGACTTGGATGTTTCGCCTCATGTTCCTATGCCGAACATCAACATTAGAATGGTCGAATTTTGGGGTTTTAGCGATGGCTTCGTGACTCGGGATTACTTTGTCGTATATACAAAGTACGGGGCTTGGTAGTACATTAGTAAAGGTACTTGCTAATTTCTTAATACCAAGGATGTACTAACAAATTTGATGAACTTAAATTATTAAAGAATGTATATTCTATTACCTTTCTAGTAAACATGCAATACTTCACCTTACAACATACACATACTAATCACCAAGTATATAATATTTCTCCCATTAATTTATACTCAATTTAATCTCTTACCCTAATTCAACTTACTGGCAAACGTGAGCATACTAGATATAATATTCTACTTGGAAAACATTATAATAACTTACTTATTAATTTACTTATGTTGATTAGATTACTAACCATAACATATTAAATCAAACAATTCTTAATAATCTCAAACTATAATTAAAATCCATGACCTTACCTCGTATAAACTTGAATGAATAAATTTCACCCACCACTAACTATTTCTATCATGTAACTTTAAGTGGAAAACTAAATTTTAATATCCATAACACATCAGTGACCTTTCTAGCAACATACCACAATTCAGGGGCCAAGTCTAGTACATTTCAAAACCGTTGGGACTGATAGTAAAAATCCCAGCAGTCTTTAGCAACCGTCAGAAATAGTCACTAAAGCTCTACGGGTTCGTCTCTAAAACTGTGAAACGATCGCTAAGTTTCCATATTTAAGCATGCATATATAAAACATTCCATAGATCCAATTTAGGATTGGAAATTGAGTTCCTCACCTTCTAGTCGATCGTAAGACTTGGTAGAGGAATTAAAGACGTTTATTTCCTTTCGGTGGTCGTCGTTCGATCTCCCGCAACCTCGCCGTCAAAGCTACGGTTCAAGAACACGAGTTTCGTTTAGCTTAATGATTGGTTCGATATAAAAGGGACCGCCACTACAAAAAAATGGGTCTATGGCAAGGGTTTTTTATACCTATAGCAAGGGTTTTAACCCCTGCTACAAGTTGTAGCAAGGGTTTCGCCAACCCCTGCATGAACCCTGGCCTATGCTGCCCCTGCTATGTGTAGCAAGGGTTTTTAACAACCCACGGTGAAAGTCCCGTCCAAGGGTTATAGCAGGGGTTTAAACCCCTGCTACATGTATCAAGGGTTTAAACCCCTGCTACAATTCAATATAAAATTCAATAGTAAGATGTTTGTATCAGGGGTTAAGCCCCCTGCTAAGTTCGTTGCTCTAACTAGCAAGGGTTAAAACCCTTGCTTAATTTGTCTCTAAATCAATTGCAACCAACTCAGAATGGTCACTAAAGAGAGGCTGATAAAATTTTTGAACAAGCTCAAAACTGTCGCTAAAAACCCATGAAAATTGGTGACTATAACTTGGTTGCAATACTCTGGTCACTATAGATAAATCCATAACCAAGCATTTTCTTGCAAATTTTTTTACAAAAATCATTCTTGCGTAGCCAAATCATACAGTACATTATATCCATGGTTCAATCCATCATATGATAGAATGATGTCTATGTTATGGGGCTCTCTTTCAGTAACTCTCTTGCCTTCAATCCATCATGAGCTGCAGCAACTGCTCGAATAGAAATCTAAATAGGCCTGCACGTTAAGATCGGAATAGGTAAACTAAGCTGGAAGTCTTACAAGCTTCGAATTAATAGGCATGAAATATTAATGAGAATGAGAGCACAGAATCAGGTAAATAACAAACCATCATTTTCAGAACATAGTCATATGAGTGTCTTTGCTTACCCTGCTGCATATCAAAAGAAGACAACCATGGAGTTAAACCTCAAAATGATTGTACTTAGAAGATTGTGCTCGATCATTACAGTTAGAAGGTAAATAACAAACCTTATACTAGTGTATAGTTTGCTTGCACTTAGAAGATTGTGCTCGATCATTGCACGATCAAGGACTGCAAAGTTGTCCAGCAATAGTGCTTTCTATTGAAGTACAACCAATAATAAATAAGCACATGGCTAATGGATGCAAGACCTGCCAAGTTGAAAAGTTCATCATCATTAACCTGATGTGGCTTCAGTTATTCAAAAAAATGCATTGATTTCGGGTTTCCTCCAGATCCTTTCTAAGTACACCTGAAAGTACAACAAGGGATTGTTCATAGCAGGTTTAAGGCATTGTTCAGAGATGGTTCAGTGAAAAGATTTCAAGAAGAGGATGAGGCACTGAATCAGTAAACAGAGGCAGTCACTTGTGCCAAGTAAACACTAAGTTACTGCAGAAAGAGAAAGAGAGAGACAGAGGACCTTTTGCACGTTACAGCAGCAGTCAAAGCTTGCTCCAATGCATCCTCATCAATATTTCTTCAATGAAGAAAGTGCAATCATTTTGAGGTTTGACTCCATGGTTTCTCGTCTTCTAGTATACAGGAGAAGGGAAGTAAAGACACTCATATGACTATGTTCTGAAAATTTTGCCTCAATACCAAATTAGAAATGGCCAAAGGTACTTGAACTAAACAATGTTAAGCAATGTTGTCTTTGAAATAACCTTCTCAATCTTTCCCAAATCAAGATGTTCCTGCAAATATTCTTGAACTACAACCCAACTCTAGTTGACAGGAAGTCAGCCCTGCATTAAGATTTAAGTAATGCCCCTTCTTCACATTTGCTTGGTCACAGCATGGTGCCCATCCCATTTCTCTGCACAAACCATAACAAGAAGCTAAGCTAGCTAGCAGAAAAGACATCTTCCAGCTCATGGGTCAGTACTATTAATTACCTAAATTCTCTGTATGCTACTGCTTCTTACACAAGAAATAAAATAAAAAAGAAATGTCATGGCAGTACACCAGAAAGGATTTGTGTATAGTACCTGTATATCAATGACCAGAACAAAATGAAGCTTCTTCCCAGCTGCTGTATGTAATGGTAAAGGTATCGTCAGTGGTGGCATGCCTCTGTTTTAGTTGGTTTATTCTGCTGCTTGACTGATGAAGGTTAAAAAATGTTCAAACATACGGAAGAGTAAACTCTGAACATATGAATTATCGACCATGAATGGTTCCTACCATGTGGAACTCAACATATGTTGGAATGCTAATAACTAAAACAAAATTAAGTTACCTAGCACATATTGGAAGGACATAGGCAGCAATCATGAGGAGGTAAGCTGAGTTCGTGATAAGGCAATATCCTAAGCCTCCCGTACTCATCCAATGCACCCGGATTAGTGTCGATGAGAGAAGCATCCTAACAATCCATGACGGTTCAAGATCTTCTCAATGAAAAAGAGGTTTGCATCACTGATGATTCTCAATTCACATATGGGGAACAAACCACATTTCACAAAAAATAAAACAATCAAATTCTCCACCCACATCGCTAAAGGGGACTGGTTTTGGCAAGGAGGTGAAGAGTACCACCCAAGGGCATGAGCTGATTTTATAGATTCAACGAAATAAGAACATAATGTAAAACCCTAGAATGTATAAGGGGTCAAGTAGATATCAAGGATAAGCATTAACGCAGACGAGTAGTGAGTGAAATTAAGGGTGGATGAAGCGGAATGAATTTATATTTGATTCGGGCTTGGAAGGGGAGGAGATGAAGAAGCAGAGCATCGTCCCTTTGTTGGTTGTCATCGACGTCGAGCACCAGAGTCAAAAAGACATCGGAGAGCCGATCCATGTTACTTCGTCTTCTGCTGCTTCGAATTTCTAGCTTCTGCTCTCACATGGAATGAATGTTCTATCTACCACAACAAGAAGTACTGATTCCGATCAAAATATGAAAGAGAGAGTGATAGTGAATAACCTAATTGAGAGAATCAAAATTGATTTCAATCGGAGATTGCAATCTCTATCAAATTTCACGAACAGCTACCAGAGAGTTCATTAACCGCCTTTCGAATCAGCTTCGTCGGAGAAGCTATCGGCAAAGCTCGCATGCTGGAGTTCGTTAACTGCCCGTCGAATCAGCTTCGTTGGAGACGCTATCGGCAAAGCTCGCGTGCTGGAGTTCGTTAACCGCCGTCGAATTAGCTTCGTCGGAGACGCTATCGGCAAAGCTCGCGTGCTGGAGTTCGTTAACCGCCGTCGAATTAGCTTCGTCGGAGACGCTATCGACAAAGCTCGAATGCTGACTAGAGATTTTGTGCTATGGAAGAAGAAGCATTAGAAGATGGAAGCGGGAACTGGCACTGGACTAGGGATTTGTTTCTTTACATTTGGGATTGAGATTGTTTTTGCCCCGTGAAAAGCTAGAAACAGTAAAACTAGATGAAATGATGGTTAATTACTTACTTAATCCCCTAGCAAGGGTTTCTCAACCCCTGAAATATACCGCATCTACGGGAGTTTCAGGAAACACCAACAGGGGTTTCATGAACCCCTGCTACCAAACCCTTGCCATAGACTCATTTTCTTGTAGTGCGCGTTCAAGATCCTTACTGTCTTTGATGCAAGGAATAGGCTGAATTCAAGGCGTATTTGCGGATGGGAGGGTTCGGCGGAGGAGCTGCGGCACGGAGGTGATGTCGTGCGAGGTAGAAGAAAAGGCTGGTTCTTGCCTCCTTTCGTCGATAATCCCGGTCGTTGTTGCTATTTCAGATCGTGGGAGATGGCAGAGGATGGCGGAGCACTCGTCCTTGCCTCTCCACCCGCTAGTGACTTGGGGATCGGTCACGGACGAGAGGGGAAAAGGGACGTTGCGGCTGTTGCTGCTTCTTCATTGGGTTTTAGCTTTAGGTTTATTTAATAAGAGAGAGTGAACCGAGATAAAAGTTTAGGTTAGGGTTATATTTGAGCATAAGGGTAATTTTGGAAATACCATGAAATTTCGGGCTCGGGTGTGACATTTCCCTCCCCCATGAGAAATTTTCGTCATCGAAATTGAGGTCCTCAATGAAGCATGAAGGTCTCTGAGTCTCCGCTCTTATTAGTGCCGATATCGTAACATGCTAGCGAAATCTATCGATTACAAGGGTATATCAAGAAATAACTCTGGATATTTCTTCCTCATATCCTCCTCGATCTTCCATGTGGCTGCTTCTGTACCTTGATTCCTCCACACCACCTTCACCATGGGGACCTTCTTTCTTCGTAGTTCCTTATCATCGTTGTCAATAATCCCAACTGGTTCCTCCGTGTAGGTCATATCAGTGTCTAGTTGGATATCCTCCAACTAACAATGTGTGTGGGATCTGATCTGTACCCATTGAGCATACTAACATGGAAGACATTATGGATCTTGGATAGGTTTGGAGGTAGCGCTAGTCTATAGGCCAAAGGACCTACACGCTCCACCACTTCGTATGGCCCGATGTACCTAGGGCTCAACTTGCCCTTCTTGCCAAATCGCATAACTCCCTTCCATGGAGACACTTTTAAGAATACCTTGTCTCCTACTGCATGAGTTTGCTCCTCACCTGGCTTATCTGCATAACTCTTCTGCCGATCCTGGGCGATTCTCATGTTTTCCCTTATTTGTTTCATTTTGTCCACGGTGTCTTGTACCAGTTCCGGACCTTCTATCTGGCGTAACCCTTCCTCATCCCAGTACAAAGGAGATCTACACTTCCTCCCATACAAAGCCTCATATGGTGCCACCTTCAGGAAACTGTGGTAATGGTTGTTATAAGCAAACTCCAATAGAGGGTGATACTTATCCCACGATCTCTTCATCTGCAACGTGCAAGCTCTCAATAAATCCTCCAATGTCTGGATCGTCCTCTCGGTTTGCCCGTCAGTCTGAGGGTGATAGGCAGTAGAGAAGTGAAGCTTGGTCCCCAAAGCCTTGTGAAGACTCTTCCAAAACTGTCCGGTGAAACTAGGGTCCCGATCTGACACAATGGTTAGAGGGACTCCATGTAGTCGTAACACCTCTTGGATGTACAAGTCCGCCAATGCATCTACCCCTGGCTTGAACTTTATGGGAATAAAGTGGGCAGATTTAGTGAGACTGTCTACAATCACCCAAATTCCATCATTCCCCCACTCTGTTCTCGGCAACTGACACGCCAAAACACAACACCAAACTGCGACCAAGTGTAATCGCAGTCCGGGAATGCAGTAACAGGCAAGTTCTATTATCAACCCGGGGTCTAGATCTACTGCTTACTCCGTGATTGTCTATTATCTAGCCAACTAATTCGATTGATTGTTGTTTAAAGCAAAAGCAGTAAGAAAGCAGGAAATGGTTTGGTTTTCAAAAGCAGGAAAGAGTCACTCGGGAATGAGTCCCCCTAGCCCCTTAGTTAGGTTCAATTGTAATTCCCCTGGGTTGATTCATTGTTGATTAGACTGCGGAAGATCCGACAGTAGCTTGGAATCTCTTAAGCTGACCAAGCCCTCTCAGTCTAACTACCCGGCAGACGACTAGTCTTCACCGGGATAGAAAGCTGAGGCTATGAACACAGAACTCCACTACTGGAATTGAATTCCAGTACAAAGCAGTAAACTGGCTAACTCTCGTATAACCAATCTCCTACTATCGAATGAAGAGGCTCTAACAACCTAATCAGATTCTATCTATCTCAGGTTGCAGCAGAAATCGAGAAAAGCTGATCAGACTTCAATCAATTCAATAAACATGCATCATTCGATCAAAACCAAACAGTATAATCATCCCAAGTTATTACAATCAAATCCCTAACATAAGGAACTAGGGTTCTTCATACCCAAGTGAGAGAAAGGTTCTACTCCATAGAGAGAAATGAAAACAGAAATCAGAGTAGTCATACTCATAAAGATGAGGAAAATCTGCTCTGGGATGTCAATCTTCACTCCTGGAGACGCAATCTGGGCTTCAATGGTGAGAATCCACTCCAAATAGCTCCTAGGGTTTGTTCTTCGCTCTTTCTCTCTCTAAAACTCTGTTTTTGCTCTAGAAACTCTAATGCCTCTTCCTTGGCTCGAATCTGCCTCCAAAAATCCGACTCTGGGCGAAATACAGGCAGAATTACGGCTGTAATCACGGCCTGCCCGTAAATCGCCCCAAAACGCACGTTTCAATTACTTTGAAGAAGGAGGATCTACGCCCGTAATTCCATAATTACGGCCAGTATTTTAGGAATTACGGTCGTAATTCTCTGGAGGCTTGCCCGTAATTTTAGCGCCGAGAAGAATTATTTGGCAAAGAGGCTCGGCAATGGTTTTACGGGCATGCCCTAACCCATTACGGTCGTAATTTGGCAGGGGCTGCCCGTAATTCCTCCTGTGAATTGTCATCTGACCTCCAAATGACCTGAAACTTGCGCCTATGCACCTCTTTACTTGCTAGGACCTGAAATACGACAAAACAACACAACCTAGCGTAAAATAGGCCAAGGAACAATCAATTCGAGCCAAAATGGACAGGAAACCAGAGTGAAAACACGTGCAAATACGATGCTATCAGCAACCCATAGACGAAATCCATAGTGATGTGTTCCCACTTCCACTCCGATACCTAAAGTGGTTTTAACTTTCCTGCTGGAGCCTGATGCTCTGCCTTTACCATCTGGCAATTCAAACACTTATGCACATACTAAGTTGCCTCCTTTTTCATATTGGGCCACCAAAAATGTTCATGCAAGGTCCGATACATCTTGGTTGACCCCGGGTGCATAGCATAAGGTGCACAATGAGCTTCATCCAAAATCTCTTGCCTTAAGTTCTCCACGTTAGGTACACAAGCTCTACCCTCGAAGCGTAGCATCCCATCAACCATTTCAAACTTGATATACTTCCCATCTTGCACCTCCTGAATGTACTTGGCCAGAACTGGATCATCCTTCTGCTTCTCCCTGATTCGATCAGGCAATAGTGGTCTAATCTTTAGATTCGCCATCATACTGGTAGCATCCTCTAGTTGTAGCTCTACATTTATAGCCCTGAGTGCCACAAGCTTCTGTAGTGGGCTAATTTCCTTCCTACTTAGTGCATCGGCTACCACGTTGGCTTTCCCATGATGATATTCAATTGTACAATCATAATTTCCCAGCAACTCCATCCATCTTCTCTGTCTCATATTCAATTCCTTTTGATCCCTCAGGTGCTTCAAAATCTTGTGATCCGTGAAAATCTTAAAAGTTTCACCATAGAGATAGTGTCTCCACAACTTTAAAATGAACACTACTGCAGCTATAGGTGTCAATCGGGCGGGTTCGGACTAGGTTCAATCGGGTTCGGGTTCAAACGGGTTGCAGGTTCATCGGGTTGCGGGTTTATCGGGTTCGGGTTCATCGGTTTCGGGTTTAAACGGGTTGCGGGTTAATCGAGTTCGGGTTAATTGGGTTCGGGTTCAATCGGGTTGCGGGCAAATCGGGTTGTGGGTTCATCGGGTTGCGGGTCGGGCGAGTTGCGGGCGGATCGGGTTGCGGGTTGTTCGGGTCAGTGCATCGAGTAACTTACTTCTTACTCGTTACCAACTTACACATTTTATTACACTAATTTAAAATATTTTTCTCAATTTTTAACCAATTTTTTTCTACCTCGTATATATACTTAATTTAAAAAAAAACTAGTCAAAATATCTAATAAATTTATATGACTTGCAAACTTGTTATGTAATTAATCGTAATTGGTAAAGTACACTAGCTAATAGTAATGGTTATATCAACATTTGCAACCAAAAGAAACCATTAATTGTTTATTTGGTATTTTAGTATTATTTCAGTAGTAATTGGATTAAAGTATCTCGTTTAGTATAACCATGAAAATCTGGTATTTGGCAAAAGCAGAGTGGTTAAAGGAGTTATTTCGAAATAAGACATTGCTCTAATAACTTCAGTAAACTGTTGTCAAACGAGTATTTTGTAAAATTGTTCGAATTACCCTAAAAATTGAACCATTGAAGATTAACTATCAAATTTAGTAAAATTGTTGTGACTTCAATCATAACTTACTCAATAACATATATCCTATACACTTAGCCTTACCTTCGATCGACAATATTAAGTTAATATATGTTGTTGATCGTATACCCTAAACCATCAATACATTATACACTAACAACATACCATATACCCTAACCATATATGATACATCACTATGAGTTGTAATTTTGCTAGTATAGTTAATTTAAAGTGAAATTCATACTTTGATTTTCGAAACATAGATAAAACCATGATATTTGTTGTACCCTCACCATATATCCTATACTCTAAATCATATACCATGTACCCTAACCACATACCATAAACATAAATTAAAAACGAATCTTCTGCCGTGAAAGATTTTAAATGACTTCAAGTGAACATATGTTAATAAAAAAACTTAGAACTGTCAAAACCATCAATACCTTATACCCTAACCATATACACTCTAAATCATCTGTACCTTATACCCTATACCCTAACCATATATTTTATACGCTAAACAACGAACCGTCAAAAATTACTTATCAAGTTTAGTATGATTGTTGGCTCATATTCACCCGCCCATAAATTTTCTATTCTAAAGTTCTCATCCAAACCTCCCTCTCATTTTCCATTCCAAAATGACCAGCAACCCGATTAACTTAGAAAGACAGTAAAACATACATAATCGAATGCATAGGTTAGGGTTTTATTTGAGCATAAGGGTAATTTTGGAAATACCATGAAATTTTGGGCTCGGGTGTGACAGTCAACATATGTGCACTTTTTACATAAAAAAAAAGAAAAACATATGTGCACTTTTGCTAGGATGGCGCTGTTTAGCGATAGTAAGCGTAAAAGGAAGACTCATCCAACACTACCAAATAATGTCATGTTTCAGTGGACTTTTGTCATAATGGTCCTTGTATGCATATCGAAGCTTCATTAGCTCGAACTTTCTGAATAAAGACTTGCAAATACTCAATGACATCAAGTGAATCGAATCCCTGAATACGACACCGTTTGGGATTTTCTTTGAGAACCACTGACTTGGTCAGTCCAAGTGAGGGATGAGACAATGTGACCATATAATTTACCTCTTGCCCAAGCCCAAGTACTAATGCACCTGTCTGAAGCATATCGCCCCGTATATCCAATAGCCCTTTTTTTTATAGACGAACTGGTACGTCAAAAATGAACTGCAAATGTTGGAGCCACTGATGGATCGAAAGCATAAAACGCGGCGATAATAATCATATCATCCTGATCATGGTGCACATTTGTCTTTAACCGATGACATCTGTACGATTGTGAACCAACCAGAGCAATATCCACCCCTAAATTTATACCCAGACACAAAAGAAACATACTTTCATACTGTTCTTCCTGCGTCAAGCACTCTTCTCTAAAAATAAGAGGTAAAAGTATCCAATGGTTATGTATAGCTACGAGAGAATAACTGTATAAAGTTTTGCCTCAGAAAAAAGATACAAGTTCCTTTATTACAAAGGCCAGCATGAGCTAACGGTTCAAACATTTTTACAGGGAGTCAAAAGATACCACAAGGAAGCAAAGCAAAAAACCAATTAATTTAGAAATCAGCAGTACCAGTGGCAAAAACAATTTGACATTAAAAAGGTTACCTGTGAAGAAGAGAGGATCCTAAGGATGAACCACCAAGAATAACTTTCCAACTCTAGCAGAAACTAATGTCACATAATTCCCAGTTCCAGGAATACCGATTTCCTTCCCGGCGAAGAAAATAAATATGCAAAGTTCACACAAGTCTGGCAAGAGATGATATGGTACCGATTGCCATTACCATCCATTTAAAAGCAAAGCTCTTTCTCTCTATGAGATTAACCGCTTGATGCCAGTTTTCTGCTCTGCTGTCAGCTTACTGGGGAACTTGATATTGAACTTAATTTTTAAAGCCCCGCGCCTGGAAGGCTCCTTTGGGATGGGCATCCCCTCACCTTTGACAGACTCTTCATACGTTGGGCTTATGATGGCGTTGATGGGGACAGTGAGAGCTCTCCCGTCAAGGGTTGTCACCTGTGCTGTGTAGCCTGTGAGTGCTTCCACTAGAGATATCTTCTGAGTGATTACTAGGTCGTTGCCATCTCTCTTGTACACTGGGTGAGGCTTCTCGTCGATGATGAATACCAGGTCAGAGGGTATCACCCCACGTTGTTCGTTACCTTTTTCTGGAAATGTGATTTTTGTTCCTTTCTTCCAACCTGGCTTGATCTCTATTGTAAGAATTTCCTCAAGAGTCGATGGTCTCCTGTGTCATCGGGGCAATTTGAAAGAAACAATTTTAGCATCTGTAATATCCACATATCAGAAACGATACGACAGGAAAACCTATTCTGCATTCCAATCTTGACAGACAAGTACACAACTAAAACAAAGGCGGAAACAAGTAGGTCAACAATTACCAATTAAGGTTGCACATATTATACTCTCGAAATGCAAGAGAAATTCTTTTGGGGTTTGTTTCTTAGTCGAGTTTCAAGAATATGCCAGTACTGCCACTACACACATATCAACACTAGCAGTTCAAGCAAGTTTGTTCCTTATGTTAACAGATGATAGATGGTAAGAAGTGTGCTGCATAATTTAATACCTAAAGAGCTTGAGCTAACTAACAAATAACTTCAAGCAGGCTTATATCACTATTGTGTGATGAGGATAAAAGTGTGGTGCTTTCATTGGCGTGATCAGGATGACCACCATCATTAGTTATTCAACGTTCAGAAATTAGTTGCCTTAACAGAAAACGAAATTGTAATGTCTATCGACAAATAGAAGACGTAATATGACATGTGGAACCAATGTCATGTCTGCCTGCTAAGCTCCATGGCAACTTAGACTCACACACAAAAACTTGGTTGTTTTATCATGTCAATTGCATTTCAAGCATCGTGCATAACTAATATCCCTTTGCATTACATTCCTGTGACCAATAGATGAGCAAACCACAACAATAACAGCACTGCAAAAGGCTGGATCTTTAACTTTCTACGCCCTAAGAAGGGCAGGAGAGTTCATCTTTGAAGGTGAAGCTTCAGAACTTCTAATGTGAACTCTAGATTGAACAGTAAAGTAGACACTTCACTGACCCTTTCCAGCGCAGAATTACCAAAATAGAATACTCAACCGAAAAATTAAGAGCGATGCGTTTAAAGGGGATGATGATGAACTCCACAGTCCCGTATGAACGCAAATAGCAACTAAAATGAGCTACGGATTCTCCACCTAATCGAAGCAGTACAGCTGGGGAGGTGTAGAAGAAATAACTCACCCATTGTGATCAATAACGTCCCTCGAAATCTTCATCTTTTTGGTGGTGCCCTTGTACAATTCCTCCAAACTACACGGCAATGTCCGCTCTATAGCAGCGCCTTTCCGTGGAATACCGGAGGACTCGCCGGCAGCATTCCTAAAGGAAGAGAAGATATCATCCCCAAACATGCCCCTAGGGAACCCTGAAGGTCCAGCTCTTGAGCCACCACCCATGTCCCCCATCCCATTGAAGGGACTCGAAAACCCGAAAAACTCCGAGAATATATCATCTGCACTTCGCGGGTTGAACCGAAAAGCACCCGAACCCGCCTCATGTCCGAACCCGCCATGCGACGCCGCGCCTGGTGGAGGCACCTGCCCCTTCAAACCTTCCTCTCCGTACTGATCATAAATTGCCCTCTTCTGTGGATCGCTTAGAACCTGCAAGAAAATGGCAATCGCCAAATGAAATCAAAGAATGAATAAATGAAACTGATGGGATGTGGCAAGAGAAGAGAGTTGCTTGTGATTTTGAATTTTTTACATCGTAAGCTTCGGAGATTTGCTTGAATTTAGCTTCGGCTTCCTTCTTGCTATTAGGGTTCTTATCCGGATGCCATTTCATAGCCAGCTTCCGATATGCTTTCTTCAAATCATCTTCCTTGGCTCCACGGTCCACCTGTAGAACCTTGTAGTAATCCACTCCCATTCTCGTTTTCCTCTTCCGTCCACCTCCCACCTCCGCCGCCGTGGTGGTTACTATCGTTCCTCCTCCTCTGTCGTCTCGTCGTATGTAACTCCCGCTTCTTCCTCCTCTCTATCAGCCGAAGCACAAAGAAAGCTCCGGTAACACCAGAAACTCTTTTTATCAACTAATAAATGGCGGACAATGGGTCGGACTTCTTCGGCCTAGGCACTTTCTGCCCACGACCTGCTCTACTTCTTTTTTCATGGAAATACATGTTGGGATTCGAGGCCCAAATTTGATAGATTCTCACGGGAAGTGTTGTACTTGTGCGTTGCTAGGCCCAGCCCAAACTCGGTTCATGGCCCCATGTTTAGGCTGCCATGGCGCCGCAGTTAGAATTTTTTTAACATCAGGCGCGGCACTTAGATGCTAAGGTGACGGCACGTAGATTTTGACTTAGGGGTCGTTTGCTCGTGGGATTTGAGTGATGGATTTGGAACCCAAATCCCAAGCATCATGGAGTTGACACAAATCCTTTGTTTTTTGAGGGACACAAATTCGTGGGGTCCACGGATTTGGAGCCTTTTTTTTATCCAAATCCGTGGACCCCACGGATTTGTAAATCCCACATTTCATTTGGGATTTGACAATAGAAGGAAAAAATGTGAGACAAATCCATTACAAATCCATGATAAAAAAATCAACTAAACAAACAATGTACTCTTCCAAATCCATGATGCAACAAATCCATCATAAATCCTAAGGTTTTTAAAACTCAAAACCTTCATTTTCAAATCCAACAAGCAAACGAGCCCTTAGACAATCAATCAAGTTCAAGGTTGTCAAACTGATTTATGCTGACAAGTTGATTTGAGAACCTCCAATAACAAATAAATTAAACATGACATATTTTAAAGCAATTTAACTCATCGTCATTTATATATAATCAAATTATTTTCTCAAAAGAAATATATATTACCAGATTATCAATCTTTATCTTCAAATCCTTTTTTGACTGGTTTAATTCGGTTTTGACTTCTTCCCAGAATCACACAACCGGAGTGTATTTCAACCATTTAAATGATCGGTTCCGGTCGGAGTAAGTTGGACTAACCTACGGGATACCGATTTCCCAAGGTTGTTATGTTAGTGTAATACTTGTCGGTTGAACGTGGTTCAATCTGTGTTGGTTACAAAATATATGTGAATAGTACCGGTTTGTTTGATATGAATGATTTTCGGTCTATAAAAATGACATGACATTATTTTAGTGAATAAATCAATGTAAAATTAAATTTTGATATATTTCATAAATCTAAAAGTTAAATGTTGTTATTTGATGGAATCAAGTATAGAAGTTTGAGGGTTGACGTTTAATGTTGTATACTATTCAGATATGAAAAATTTATTATTTTGTTTGATATGTGGTATTTTATTTAAATATGAGCATAGGTTGTAAGTAAATTGTCTTCAAATATATTTTATAAATACTTAAATTCATTTGATGTTGATAATTTTCATGTTTATTAGACCACTTGAATCGAAACAAACCGATTATACTACCAGTCAATCATTTCATTTGCTAAATCAGCGTCACGGTAATAACACATTTCCTAACCTTGCCATACACTATCTACACATTATATAAAAGTGGCAAGGAAAAAAATGGACCCCATTTCAAAATTCCTGGCTCCTGAGCGTTTCACCGGGGGTGTATTTTTGGAAGGTAAAATTTGTTACGTGCGAAAGTAGAATGCACTTTGAATTTGAACGAGCCCAAACACTTATCGGCCCACTGATCGTGCCCTGACTGCCGCTTTGCCAAAGCTTTCCATCGGACTCGCCTCACAGCGAGCTTGACCTCACTCACCACACACCAGTTACCACCTATCTCTCAAAGGTCGTCGCCACAAGCAGGTGTCGCCACTTTCTAACCCCATTACCCTCTTCATGTCTTCTACTTCCTCGCTCGGCCATAATCCTATTCTTCACCAGCTATCAATTCTCCGATCGGCCATAATTAATAGTCATGTCCTTCACCCGCTACTAATAGGGTTGATAGCAAAACCCGAATCCACGGGTACCCTACCCCACTCAACTCGATCAATGCGCGTAAGACCCATGTTGACGGGGTTCGGGGTTAAACCAGGTACACTTTTACCGAGTTGGATTGTGTTTGGGTTTAGGGATACCCGTCCACACTTATTTCGTAGTCCTACTATCCTCAAACCCTACCCTAATTCTAATTCCTCAAATATAACTCTCCCCAAACCCTACCCTAATTTTATTTCTTACCAAAATAATGTTTCATTTGTCCCAAAAGAAGTGGGAGGGATAAATTAATAATTGAAGTTGAACACATTATGTTTGTTGGTTTGCTGCTCCATCACAAACAAAAAGGGAATGAACGAAAAACAAAGAAATGTTATGTTTGTATTCTTTTTGCTTTGTTTTATTAGTCCATCTTGATTCTCCTTTTTATGGATTTTTGGAATTAATCACATGTTTGAGAAGGTTCAACTCACTTTGCCCAGGTCGAATTATGTTGAATACTCATGGGTTTGTGTTCAATTTAATTCTCAACAAAAAAGGAGAAATTAACAGACACTAAAGCGGATAAAACTCGCTCACGACCCAAAATTTCGGCAACATCATGTTCAACTCTCTTTGATCAGGTTGAACCGAGTTTGTAACAAATTCACAACCGACCCAACCCGCCACTTACAAAAGCGAATTAAACTCACTTTCACACGAAAACTTGTAAACACCTATTTCAAGTCATTTAGATCAGGTTGAATTAGCTACTTGAATATCCATAGGTTTTTTTTCTTTGATTACCCATGAACCTCTGTCTCACGTGCCACTTTGTGACAGCAGGTCCTACTAAAACTGGGGTCACCTACAATTAATTTCTACGCCAACGGGATACCCATAGGTTTGGATTCTCAACCAAAAGGAAAACGAAAAATAAAAAAACACTAAAGCGAATAAACTCGCTCCCTACCAAAAACTCTACAGACCGAGTTGAACTCGCATTGACTGGTTCGAATCGAGTTTCTAATAATTCACACTCGGTTAACATGTCATTTCTAAAATCAGATAAAACTCGCTCTATATAAAACTCGTCAGCACCGGGTCCGGGTTCAATTGTCATTCTCAACCAAAAGGAAAAGAAGAAATAAAAAATATTAAAGCGGATAAAACTCGCTCTCGATCAAAAACTTATCAACACCGTGTTCAGCTCGCTTTGACCAGGTCGAATAGAGTTTTTAACAAATTCACACTCGACCCATCCTACCAACTACAAAATCATATAAAACTCGCTCTCGATACAAAACTCGTCAATACCATGGGGTTCGGTTCAATTATCATTCTCAACAAAAGGGGAAAATAGAAATTTAAAAATACAAAAATCGGGTTCAAAGTCGCTTTGAACTGGAAAAATTATGTTGAATACCCATGAGTTTGAGTACAATTGTCATGCTTAACCAAAAGAAAAAAGAGAGATAAGAAAATACTAAAGAATATGAAACTCACTCTCAATACAAAATTCGGCAACACAAAGTAGATTTGATATGGATTTTCAGTAGCAGTCTTGGGACACGGTGGATGGGACAACTTAGGATTTCACCGAGAGTGTTTGGAGAAGTGTTGTGCATTATTGGGCGAATGCAAGGATTGTGCATAATAGATATGGTATGAATCTTCGGTAGTAGTCGTGTCAAACGGTGAAAGAGGACAACTTATGATTTCGTCGATAGTGTTTCGAGACGGGTAATTGTTGCAACATAGAAAGCAATGAACAATAGATAAAAACTATTATGGGAAACCTAATAGGCAATAGATGTAGACCCGACGGACAATAGATGAACACATTGGTCATAGAATGAGAGAGTGGGTAAAAGATGGACATGAAACTTCCCCACTTGCACTTGGAGGAGTGAGAGAGCCACTAATGAATAGTAATTCACAACCTAGGCTTTTATATATTAATTAATAATAGTTAATTAATTAATAGGAACTTGTTATTGTAAATTTTTTACCACAAAAATCCACGGGTACCTATGAACCCGCGGATACCCAACGAGTTTAGTTGGGTTTGAGTTTTCCAAACCCAATAGGTTTTACCCCAAATTTTTTTATGGATAAACCTGTAGGTTTGGGCTTGAGTTTGACAAAATCCGACTCATTGCCATCCATAGCTACTAATGCGCTCAATCCTTAATTCTTTTTTTTATTCCAATGTGTAATGTCAGGGCCCTCCCATTGTTTCTATGGTGAAGGATTTCCTGCTTCAATTTTCCCATTCTTATGACAGTTTAGGGTTTCCATTGGCCACTGCCCACTGTGTTGCTTTTTTCTTTTGCAGGGGATACATTTGCGTTCCATTTCCTAGGGTAGTTGTTATATAATGCTCCACGACACAATTCTACTCCTAAAGCCTCTCTCTCGATTCCTGCTTGAAATTAATATATGCCCTTTCAAGTTTAAACTACCACTCCTTTTGCTTCTTCATCGGGATTGGTCTCCATCCGTCATTGTATAACACAGTGAACGGGGTTGGATTTCTATGAGATTGAGTTGTTCATGCTAGCTCCAATTTCAGCGTACTTCAGGACTAAGGTCAATACTATGCGAGATACCATTGCTTGAGTGTGTGTACTGCACTACAGCCTGGACTGAACCCGCTGGGCATGGAAACGCAGCCTCCACACAGCTGGGCACGACAGCGAGACGTGGAGGATTACCGCCGTCCACGAATTCGAGCAGGTACCACGTTTGTGCCTCTATATCTTAGTAGTTAGAAGTCTATGAGGATGATCTGAGAAACCCTCAATGGTAGCCGCCAGGTGGGTACGGCCGTACGGGATAAACACGTATTGGGTCAAGCTGAATAGGACTTACACTCATGCTCAAGGCAGGGTGTCTGTCTCTGTTTACACTAAAAATTAACATTGTACCACATTGGTTAAAAACAAGGAATTAATGACTTTATAAAGCCAACTTAATCATATTAGTTTAATTCAGTTGAGTGGGCCATGAGAACTGGTTTTTGGGCCCATTACTCCGTGCCACCACGCGCGCCATGCATCTCCAAGTTTGGCTAAGTATGGGAGCCACCACCATGACACGCAGAGGGGGATGGGCTTCATACCGGCACCACCCCCAGGACGTGACAGGGGGGTGTGGCAAGGGGGGTGGCCACCATCATACCACTCCCCATGAGGTACCA